ATCATTACTTGTGCTCCTTTGTGTGTTACCTACCGGCGCTGCTTTCTCTAAACGAACTTCATAGTGTAATTTACAAAGTTTTAAAGCTATATTCAACTTTGTATTAAAAAAAGGATTACTACATTTGTGATGTTTTGGATGGTTATACCACTATAGATTAGAGGAAATAAAAAGGTTGGAATATCACGGAGGATATCATTGAATACGTCTGATCCAAAAGTAATTACATTTTCATGATAGAATATGTACTGTGAATTACTTTCAGTGATAATTGATAATAATTTTGAAAAATTTTATCAATTATTTATCATTATAAAACATTTTAACTGAACTATGTTCTTTTAAAAATATTTTCCTGATGGGAGATTTAAATATTAAAATAAGTGAGCTTGATTAGTTGTTATCGAATGACTTAGAATTTCTGGGCTTATATGGAATGATACCGGCATTTTATCATACTACTAGGGGAAACAGCTGCATGGACCATATAATTCTAAAAAATAAATATCCCACATATACTTTTATTTTATTAACTTCCATTACTGACCACAAACCGGTTCATTTCAGCATTAAATCGATAAACAAAATATCTACAATAAAAATAATTTTATTAATAAATTAAATTTCGATAACCTACATGAAGATTGTAAAAACCTAAAGTATATAATATACAGGTATATAACAATGAACTAAATCCAAATCAATCACTACACTTTATTAATGAATACATACAAAAAATTTACTAATAATTCAATAAAAATTAGAATACCCCATAGCAATATCACAATAAAATTGTTGGTTTATTAAGATGTATAAGAAATAGAGATAGAATGCATTATAAATTATGTTTATGTCCAAATTTGGTCATGTTTGAACGCCACTCAATTGCGTTCGAGCTGGCGCCTCACCCGATGGTATGTAGGTGAGATAAGCGCCGAGGTGGGGCGACCGTGCGCGGACGCGGGGGCAGTCTGTCGCTCGACGCGTGGGCGAAACGTCGGTGCCCCTCGAGCCACGAGGTGCGGAGACCGTCAGGTCCTCTTACCTAAATTCACGGGCCCGTAGTGGATCTAGATAGCTAGATGAAGGACGTGCTTCTTCGTCACGTAGATATGTGAATTGTGCGATATTTAACTTGTTCGGGGATGCGGAATTGTGCACGCGCGCGTCGAGTAGATATACGGTCTAGGGTTCGAACCGCGCATTCCTTGTTCCGGAGCTTCTCCCAGTTGATCATCAGTAAATCATTATAATCGTGTCGTCGCGTTAAGTGCCCTTTTTGTGTGTGTTGGCTTGTTAGTGTCAACGAGGCGTATTTTGATTCTGGCGCGACGTGTTATTCTGGTGCCGAATTTATAATTTGTGATAAGTGAATCCGGGACTTTCATCATGGGGGGTCCAGCTTCCCGAACAAGCCGGTTTCCGAAAAGGCTTTAACACCATAGACCACATACATACCCTTCGGCTAATTGTACAGAAGTCCGAGGAGTACAATTTGCCACTATGTCTGGCGTATGTGGATTATGAGAAAGCCTTTGATTCCGTCGAAATTTGGGCGGTACTGCAGTCCCTTCAGCGATGCCAAGTTGACTGTCGGTATATCGAAGTGTTGCTAAGTAAGCTTGTACAGTAGGGCTACAATGGCTATCCGAGTACAGAATCAGAGTACGAAACCTATCCAATTGCAAAGAGGTGTAAGACAGGGTGACGTCATATCCCCGAAACTCTTTACCGCTGCATTGGAAGATGTTTTCAAGCTTCTGGACTGGAAAGGATACGGTATCAACATCAATGGCGAGTACATCACTCACCTTCGATTTGCCGACGCTATATTCCTTATGGCAGAATCGCTGGAGGACCTAAGCACTATGCTCAATGAACTCAATAGTGTTTTCCTACGGATAGGTCTTAAGATGAACATGGACAAAACAAAGATCATGTTTAATGTCCATGTCACACCTATGCCGGTAGTTGTTGGGAACACTAAGCTCGAAGTTGTTGACGAGTATGTTTACCTGGGACAAATAGTCCGACTAGGTAAGTCCAACTTCGACCGAGAGGTAAATCGACGGATTCAACTCGGCTGGGCAGCGTTCGGGAAATTACGGCACATCTTCTCGTCACGTATACCTCAAAACTTGAAAACGAGACTGTATACCCAGTGCGTGTTGCCAGTGATGACCTACGGAACTGAGGCGTGGTCCTTCACTGCTGGCCGGATGAGGAAGCTCAAGGTCGCTCAGCGAGCTATGGAGAGGGCTATGCTCGGAGTTTCTCTGCGTGATAAACTCAGAAATGAGGACATCCGCAGTAGAACCAGAGTGACCGACATAGCCCAACTCGTACCAGCAGGCGAAGTGTAGGGCGTCCCTCCACTAGATGGAGTGACGACCTGGTAAGATATGCAGGAAGTCGATGGATGCAGTTGGCTCAGGACCGTGCTTTGTGGCATTCTTTAGGGGAGGCCCATGTTCAGCAGTGGACTTGTGAAGGGCTGTAATGATGATGATGATGATGAATCCGGGACATTCAATGTCAAATTTTGTGCTACTGTCCTTGCCTTGTCGGATATCATGTGTTCGATTCTGCGATGAGTCTGGAATTAGGCGAATTGAAGTTAGTTAAATGTAAAATGAAGCTAAGAGACTGAATAGTGACAGTGAAGAAAGAAGTGGTCCGGCGCTGAAGCAGTCTGGAGCGATGCAGCATTTTGGAGCAGCCTGGAACTCGGCCGCTGCTGGTCGCCTATGCTTGCCAAGGCCCCACACATTTACACCTCACTGTACACCACTCGCCATCCACTATTACACACACTCACGGCCTGCCCAAGCCTTGGTGCGAAGTTAGCTTCGGATAATGGTAAGTACTAGGTGTTTCTAGCTTTCTCCTATATAGTTTATTGTGATAGGAAATTCCATGTGGCCACCTGGCCCTGTCCCTCTGCTGCCCGTCGATGGGATTACTCATGGGCCCTAGTCCCGTCAACTTTTGTCGGGGCAACAACAAAATTACGTTTTAAAATGTCTGTATTGCTTATAGCAATACAGACATTTTTGTAACGATACATTAAAAAAAAATAAAAGAGTTAATATGAAAGAAATGAATTGAATCCTGCTGGAAATAATAATAAAATAATTTGGAACGTTGTTAAAAATATAAATAACTTTAATAAACCAAAAGAGCTACCATCTGAACTTCTCAAGATTGAAAATAACCCGCTAAGTTCCGCAAACTTTATAAATACTTTTTTTGCAAGTATAGATTCTGAGTTGTCAAATAAACTTAAAACAAATCTTCCGCCCCTTCCTACCTGTATCTATCTGTAACAGTCAAAAGTAAGTATTTTTTCCTACTTAAAACTCATGAAGAAGAACTCGAACGTCTCATTCTTAATCTTAAGACTAATTGTGGTGCTGGTTGGGGTGGTGTCGGCGCCGTTACGACAGCACCGACGGTGTTTGCGGGGAGTATGTGAAGTGCGGGGGGTTTCTCACCACCACGCTTAAGACCGGCACTCGCCGATAGCTCGCGACCCGATCGCCACCAAATATTTTGTATTTTTCATTCCTTTTAAATATACAATTTGCCTATCGTGTGAGTCGCCTATTTTATTCATGTTCCCTAATTGAACATAGTGGCGACCGTGATAAATTAAAATATCGAATTCCGATTTCGCCGCGTAATACGGTCCAAAGGTCGTAGCACTTACCCCGCGTTTACAACGTCGCGAACGCAAGTACTACGAGCTACGAGAACAAAGGAAGCCACGCCGATCTACTACATCAGCTAAGAAGATTATTAAATTGGCGTACCATCCCGAGTCCTAAGAACAACAAAGCGGTCAAGAAGAATTCATCTGGAGCGGAGAGAAGACAAGAGGACAGCTATTGAGAACCGGCCAAGCTGAGGTCCAGCGGAGTCTACGCGCCACATCAGCGGTTTTTGCCAACTAAAAGTGAGCCCGTTCCTATTATTTTACCTCTTCGTGTCCCACTATTCCTAAAAATTCTATTTGTGTGAACAGGGAAACAAGGAATCTAGTCCTATTTTTTGTTGCCTTACCCTACCTACCTATTCTTAAGCAACATCCTTTATATTCCTTGTCTATCTTATACCCTTTCGTATATAAAACTGCTAATCTAAATAAACTATTCCTACTCAATAATCCTACTAAATAAAATACCTATTAAAACAATCCTAAAAAAATTACCTAGTTAAACCTACTTACAATCTACATACCTAACGAGTTAAAATCACCTATTTACACCTATTTGCTTGCCTATCAGCTAATTTTCTATTATTTCTTACTATTATTTCGCCGCATCATTTGCTAAGTAATCAGTGCTATTTTTCAAGCCGCCTATAATTTGCATTCATTGCGCCTATTTTACGACTTGAAAGTCTTCACTAGCATTTAATTAGTTAGTAGCCACTGTTAAATAGTTAGAATTTAAATAGCTGAACCTATTTCTTTAAACGTAAGCATACACATACTATGTACATAGCTACGCAAAAATTTGAGCTTAACTCCTCAATGCAAGTAAATTCACTTCTCGCTATTCACTGTTAGCTGTTTATGCACGCAAATAAATTAGTCATCACTATAGCATAATCATTCGCTAAGCCCTATATTACGCTAATTAAACCATTATTTGCACAAATCAATTAAATTTACGAACAACCTTGCTTCCCGTTATTATTTTATGTACGGAGATATCTGCAAAGCATTCCAACAATCAATTTCAGCTACGGTGCAGCGGTCGCTCGAGACTATCATCGCATCCCGTGTCACTGCCAGCACTGCGGGCTCACGTCGTGGTACTGGACCGCGGGCGTCGCGCGTCATCAATCCCACCTTTCACCGCGCTTCTGCTGATTTTGAACCGGTTTCCGTCACAGCGGCCACGAAGCGAGGAACGTATTGTATGCAATTCTTATTTATTTGATTAGTACAGCGCATAACTAGTTGTTTTGATTGTCTGCGCGTTAACTTTGCTAGTATGGAGGCAAAGTACAAAACTCTTAATTTAAAACGCGCTTCAATTAGAGGCCGTGTTACGAAATTTAATAACCATTTAGAAGAATTAAAAGGTAAAAAGCTTACTCCTACGGAAGTTAGCGTGCTATCGCAGCGATTAGTTAAACTTGAAACTTTATTTGGCGAATTCGATAGCGTGCAAAATCAGATTGAAGCATTGGAGGAAAATAATTTAAGCTTAGAATTGGATACCAGAGAAGTTATCGAACAAGCTTTCCACAATTCGATCGCATTGGCTCAGGAAATTATTTCCGTAAGCAGTACGACAAAAAAGTCGTCGCTTCAGCATAGCAGTATTTACACAGCTGATGAAGATGATCACGAAGTTATCGGCTTTCGTTTACCAGTCATTAAAATTAATAAGTTTGATGGTACGTTCAACAAATGGTTGGAATTTCGTGATACGTTCAGTTCTCTGATACATAATAATACAAAAATAAAAAATATACACAAATTTCATTATTTAAATTCCTATCTAGAAGGTGAAACTGCTCGTGTAATATGTAATTTAGAAGTTTGCGACAATAATTATCCTGAGGCATGGAGTCTTCTTTGTGAGCGTTTTAATAATATTCGTCAATTAATAAATAATCATTTGAAGTCTTTGTTTAATATTGAGCCGTTGCGTGAGTCTGACAAGTCATTAAGATTTCTAGTAGACCACGTCACAAAAAACCTACGTGCTTTAAATACTTTAAAACAGCCAACTGATCATTGGGATACCCTGATCATATTCATAGTCTCAGCGAAATTAGACAGCAACACGCGTGTTAAATGGGAGGAGTACATTCAAGCTAATGTTAATGCTTCGGATATGCCTAGCCTAGATGATTTCATGACTTTTATTAAGGGCCGCGCTGAAGTTTTAGAGTCTGTTTATCGCAGTAAACAAGACAAAAATATAAAGTCAAACCCGAATCACAATCAAGGCGTCAAACAAAATCCCGTTTCTCATACTAAGTCATTCGTTAGCGCTGAGCAGGGCGACTCATCAGCAACTGCCCCTCACAAGTGTATTTTCTGTGGTCAAGGTCATCGTAATTATGAGTGCTCACAATTTCAATCGAAATCTATTGATGATAGACTTTCATTAGTGTCCGAGCTAAAGTTGTGTCCCAACTGTTTGCGCAAAGGGCATAATACGCGCGCATGCAAGCTTCCAGGTACGTGCAAGATATGCAAAAAACGTCACAATACCTTTTTACACAAACCTACGGATTCTGATACCAATGTGGCAGTCACTAATGTTGCAGTCTCTGAGCGAGTTTCAATGTCAGCTGTTTCTGCTTCTGAGACACTACTATGTACGGCTTTGGTTGATATTTTTAATCCCAAAACAATCAATTACATTACCACTAAAGCTCTCTTAGACAACGGTAGTCAGTCTAGCTTTATTACAGAATCACTTAAATCAAAGTTAAATTTAACTTCTTCCACGTCTGATGTTAGGAATGTAGTCGGCATATGTAACACTATTGTCAAGCTTAATGCTGAACGTTGCAATGTTCGAATTCATTCAAAGGTAGGTTCTTTCAGCGTTATGACGTCATATTTAGTCATACCCCAAATATCAGGTAAGATACCTAAGTCTCTTGTGTCTATTACACACCTTAACCTGAAGTCCTTTGCATTAGCAGACCCCAGCTTTTATGAGCCATCTGACATAGGACTGCTCATCGGTGCTGACCTATTTTGGTCCATTATTGGAACCAAACAGCACTCTTTAGGCAAAGGAAATCCTATTCTACATGAGTCTAAATTAGGATGGCTTATCGCAGATCCCATGCATTATATTCAAAATAACAATCTCAATTTAAATTCCCCAGTGAAATGTAATTTTGTAAGTATTGAAAGCAACAATACTTTAGTTGAGCTTCACAATGATTTGAAGAGGTTTTGGGAGCTTGAAAGCTTGCCACAAAGGCCCCTTCTTACAGACCAAGAGAAAGCTTGCGAACAACATTTTTTACAGCACACAAAACGCACTGAAGAAGGTCGTTTTTGTGTCAAGCTGCCATTGATCGACAAACCAGACTGCCTAGGCACTTCCTATTTCATAGCCAGGCGGCGATTTATAAACCTGGAACGTCGCTTTCGCAAGCAACCGGAACTTAAGTCCGCCTATGTTGATTTCATTGAGGAGTATCGCAAACTAGGACATCTAGCAATATCTGAGGTAGACCGACCTGAGCTTGCCTATTTTGTTCCGCATCATCCTGTCATTCGTGAAGACAGTGAGTCAACACGTCTATGCGTCGTTTTTGACGCATCAGCTCGCACTTCATCTGGTTTGTCTATAAACGACATTCAAATGATAGGCCCTACAGTTCAAGACTCTCTTTTCAATATCCTCATCCGGTTCCGGCAATATCGTTATGTGTTGTCAGCGGATATTGAAAAAATGTACCGGCAGGTTTTAATAAATGAGTCTGACCGAAACCTACAGCTGATTTTATGGCGTGATGCGGAGGACAAACCATTACAAACACTCAGGCTTAACACGGTCACCTACGGATTTGCTAGCGCTAGTTTCCTTGCCACCAGGTGTCTCTGGCAAGTGGGCGAGGAGTGTGACGATGACGTTATTAAGGCAGTCATACAGGAGGACATATGTGTTGATGACTTACTAACTTCTAGCGATGATGAAGATCAATTACGGTCTATACAGAAATCAACACATGTGGCTCTTTCTATGGCTGGTTTTGACTTGCGTAAGTACCGATCCAACTTACCTTCTTTACTGCCTTCAGACGTTGTCCAGTCATCCGGCAACCTGACATTGAGTCAGTCTACAAATACGCTGGGCCTAGATTGGAGTCCTTCGACCGACAGCATTAATTTTCCCATTACAGTGGATCAGTCTGACGTCGTCACCAAGCGCACTATACTTTCTTCAACTTTCAAGATCTTCGATACCTTGGGCCTCCTATCCTTGTCCACTATCGTTCCCAAAATTTTAATTCAGACCTTATGGTCTCTCAAATTGGACTGGGATGAGCCCGCTCCAAAGGATATTGTCGATGTCTGGAGACCTTTTGTTGATGGACTTAAATGCCTTTTTTCACTAAATATACCTAGATGGGTATCAATAGAATATCCAGCCTCTGCTGAAATCCACTGTTTTTGCGATGCATCGCAACGCGCCTATGGTGCATGCTTGTACCTTCGCTCTACAAATAAAGAAGGACAAATACATGTCCAACTTTTATGTGCGAAATCTTGCGTTGCCCCAGCATCCAGCCCTATTACAATTCCTCGTTTGGAGCTTTCAGGTGCTCTTCTGGCAGCTGAAATGAGCTCATCTGTGACCAAAGCCTTGCGACGTAAAATATCGCGTCATGTCTATTGGACTGACTCGAGCGTAGTTCTTAGTTGGTTGCGCTGCGGTTCTTCTAACTTGAAAGCATTCGTTGCCAACAGAGTCGCCGCCATTCGAGAGCTGACTGACGCAAATTCATGGCACCACGTTCCTACAGAACACAACCCAGCTGACCTGCTATCCCGTGGCGTGAACCCACAACAGATCGCTGCATGTGATATGTGGTGGTATGGACCTAAGTTTTTATCGTTGCCAGAGTCCGAGTGGCCTTCTCGTCGCAGACTATTATTGAGATGAAGAATTTGCCGGAAGTTAAAGCACATCCAGTTGCTATTTGTGATAATTATCAATCAATTATTATCTTTAACAAATATTCTAAATTAAAACAATTACAACACATTTTAGCCTATGTACATAGATTTATTAATAACTGTAAAAATTCTAAAACTAAAATTACAGGTTCCTTAACTACCGCCGAGCTCAATAAAACCCTTAATTCATTAGTGTATATTTCCCAATTAGAGGCATTCCCTAAAGAATACGACTTATTATTAAAAGGAAATTCCCTAAGTCCTAAGTCGCACATTTCGGCACTTAATCCATTTTTACATGAAGGAGTGATAAGAGTAGGTGGTCGAATTCAGGCTTCTGAATATAGTTTCGATTAAACACCATTTTACTCAACTTTTATTCCAACAAGAACACGTACGGCTTCTACATCTGGGGCCCCAAGCCTTACTGGCTTCTATTAGAACGCGTTTTTGGCCCATAAGTGGAAGAAGTCTGGCTAGACGTACTGTGCATAATTGCACCGTATGTAGGCGTTTTAAGGGTCAGTCTATGAAAAACATAATGGGCAACCTACCTGCTCAAAGACTAATGCCCGACTTTCCTTTTATTACAGTAGGGACTGATTTCGCTGGACCATTTATGGTCACGGATCGCAAAGGTCGTGGTTGTAAAATTACAAAATGTTATTTGTGTATTTTCATATGTTTTAGGTATAAGTGCATCCATTTGGAGGCTGTTAGTGAGCTGTCCAAGGATGCTTTTATATTAACTTTGAGACGCTTTGTTTCACGGAGAGGGCTACCAAAGCAGATATTCTGCGACAATGGTGGAAACTTTGTAGCTGCTTCAAAGGAACTTAAAGAGTTTTTTGAAGTTAATGCCAAAACTATCGCTAATTTTGCCGCTAACGAAGGCGTTGAATTTTGTTTTTCGCCTGCATACGCTCCTCACTTCAATGGTTTGATGGAGGCCGGTGTAAAGTCAGCCAAATTCCACCTGGCTAGGATATTAGGGACTACGCACCTAACCTATGAGGAATTGTCATCTTTGTTCACACAAATAGAATGTATCCTAAATAGCCGCCCCCTATGTCCATTAAGTTCCTCTCCCACGGACTATTATCCCTTAACTCCGGGCCACTTTTTAATTGGTAGACCACTAAGCTCGCTGCCATCTCCGTGTCTACAATCCGCTAATGCCAATCGTCTCGACAGATTCCAGCGCATCGAGCAGTTTAAGCAACACTTTGGCGACGCTGGAGCCACGAGTACATTGCGGAGCTGCAGTTGAGGACGAAGTGGCGCACGAAGTCCAAAGAGAGCCTACAAATTGACGACCTAGTCCTCTTGAAAGAGGAAAACACTCCACCGCTCTATTGGCGTCTCGGACGTGTAAGAAAACTCTTCCGGGGATCTGACGGATTGACACGCGTCGCAGATATAGACACTGCAAGAGGAATTGTGCGGCGCGCCCTAAACAGAATCGTCCTACTACCGAAGCCCGATGAGTTGGAAGATCTTGAAAGCTGTTAAGCTTTCCAGCGCCGGGAGTATGTCGGCGCCGTTACGACAGCACCGACGGTGTTTGCGGGGAGTATGTGAAGTGCGGGGGGTTTCTCACCACCACGCCTAAGACCGGCACTCGCCGATAGCTCGCGACCCGATCGCCACCAAATATTTTGTATTTTTCATTCCTTTTAAATATACAATTTGCCTATCGTGTGAGTCGCCTATTTTATTCATGTTCCCTAATTGAACAGATGGTAATACGCCAAACATTTTAAAATGTCTTAAAGAATTTATATTCGCCTCACTTAATCATAGCCTAAATAGATATCTAGAAGAAGGTATTTTTCCCACACTTTTAAAAACATCAATCTCAATTCCAAATTTTAAAAACGGAAGACGTGACATCATCACTAAATACCATCCAATATCGCTACTCCCGTCTATATCAAAGCTTCTTAAAATAATAATAAGCACTATAGTTATAAAATATTTAGAAATTGTTTTTACAGAATTTTGTGCGAAAATTAGACTCTAATAAAAAATGTATCACAATCTTTATTGATCTGCAAAAATCTTTTGACACCATTTCATCTTCTTAACTGATCGAGAAACTTGAAAACTGGGTATTAGAAATGTACAATTACAACTTTTTAAGGATTACCTACTAAATCGCTCACATCGCATTAGGATAGGAGAGATTGTTAGTGATGAAAGCCCTATCAACTACGGAGTATCACAAGGGAACATTCTTGGTCCAACACTCTTCCTTTGCTACATAAACGAACTTAGTGAATTAAATATCCCAAATTGTAAAATAATCTCATATGCTGACGACACAACCTTCTCGTTTTACGGTGACTCTTGGGAAGAAGTTTTCAAAATTGTACAGGATGGTTTCAATATAGTATACCACTGGTTTGTTCTAGTCAGACTTTAAATTCTGATAAAACCAAATATGTAATGTTTTCCATCCGAAATTTATCCTGTTTTATAAATAAATATAAATCATATCACATTCATATGATATGACCTATATTTCAAACTGTAAATATCCTTGTATTCAAAATACAAATAATATAAAGTACCTCGCAATAATAATGGACAAGAATCTAACCTTCAAATAACATGTAAGCTATTTTGTTAAAAAAAACTAGAAAGCTTGTCTATATATTTAAAAACTTAACACATATCGCAAATTGGAATATTAATTAAAACTTTATATGAATCGTTAGGTAAATCTATCCTGTCCTATGGCATTTCTGTATGGGGAGGCTCAAGTAAAACATTAATGCTGGAAGTTGAAAAGGTACAAAGGATGATATAAAAATAGCCTTGAAAAAGCCTAGGATGTATAGGACTACAAACTTGTACGCAGAGCCAATGTGTTAACGGTTCGAAAAATTTACATATTATAATAATCTTAAAAAAACACAGGCGTATTGATTTGATGAATAATATAAGAAAATCTTGTATGAGGAGGGATTATGAAGTTTAATAAATTATTTCGGTAAAAACATTTTTCGCTCAAATTTTTTTTATGTTTTAGGGGTAGTCGATTTTATAACAAAGCAAACAAATTACACCGTATCATTAATCTGACAAAATTACAATGACACACACACACACACACACACACACGAACACACACACACACACACACACACACACACACACACGCGCACACACACCCACACACATACACATATACACACGCACACACACACACACCCACACACACACACACCCACACGCTCACCAACACACACACACATACAACACATACGATTTACTCGCTTACGCGTATGCGGCGGGCGAGGGCGCCCTCTCGCAAATGAAAAAAATATGTCAGTGCAATATTTAATAAAAAAAAATCAAGTTGATCATCCTAAAAGGGGAGCCGGGAGATCTATAGCACAAGGTATCCTGGTTTGGACTCCCGTGTCCCATAAATTTATCTATTCTTTATTTAATTTATATTACAAGAAAAAATATGCTTATAAAAGATAAATTATGCAATGTACTATTTGTGGGAGAAAATAGTAAAGTTAAATAATAATTAAGGTTATTATTATTGTGGGGTATCTATATAGCTTTCTCATCTGGATGGGCTATAAATGTAAATGAAAATGATAAATATCAATAAAATAAAATAAATACATGTAGTAGAGTCATGCTCCATCTATATTAGTAGTACAGTTGTAGCACGAATGGGTCGGCTCGACCGGGGAAGGACCACACTCTCACAGAATACCAGCGTAAAATATATAGATATTTTGTTCGCTTATCTGTTTCGGCTTGTGTTACTCAGTGTTGGAAAGCGCCGAACAACCAGAGATGACATGCCTAAGTGATTCACCGGGATAGCGACAAGCTCGACAGATGTCGACGGTGCCATCCCTTAGGGTGTATCTCCAATAGTTGTTGGTCTTAACAACCTGATCCTGTATTGCACAGACAAAACCCTTGGTTTCCCCGAAACGTTCACCAAAACGTAGCCAGTAGAGGGAGGCAACCGTGTCTATGAAAGGCTCATGAAGAGCCTTGAAGAACTTCCCTGGAGCTCCTTCTCCTTCCATACGGTCTGCCGGTCGGAAATGCACTGGACTGCTAGTTCTTGCCATTGCTCCTTGACCAAGGATAGAGGGGTCAGCCCTTTATCACACGAAATGGCGTCCCTGTAGAATGGATCATACGATTTCGTCAGGAAGTAATTACGGACACTTCTCGATTATGCATGGTGAGAGCGCTTAAAGAGCCGCGCCCACCATGTTTCTGCGGCAGTTACAGCCTCATTACTGACGACCTGGGATGATGCATCCTGTGAGACGTCATAACAGTTTGGATTTTTCTATTCAGAGCGTTCAGTTCGATCTGAGTCCTCCTGAGTATGCCAAAGGTATTAATGAGAACAGGTATGATCCAAACATTATATGCGTGTGTCTTATTAACCTTCCACAAAAGACTGTTGAGCACTTTGGTCAAGCATGCATAAAACACATCGCAAACTGACTGTTTCATGTCCGGCTCATCGATACATATGTTCTGTGATATACCCAGGTATAAGTATGTTTCAGCCTCGGATAGGGTCCTTATGTTAATGGGCATGGATAAGTCTATGCCCTCAATGTTAGCAACCCCTTTTGACATGGAAAGTCGCCCACTTATCCGTTCCCAGCTCTATTATAATAAAATTGCTAAAATCACAAGTGATGTTTAGCAATTCCATAAGATGACAGCGACTGGACGCCGCCAGTATGATCTCCAAGATGATCTCAAGTTGTTCGCGAACAACTTGAGATTATCCATATAGCAACCCCTTTTGACATGGAAGATCGCCCACTTATCCGTTCCCAGCTCTATTCTAATAGAATTGCTAAATCACTTGTGATGTATAGCTATCCATAAAATGGAAGCGACTGGAGGCGAACAACTTGAGATCATCCATATAGCAAAGGTTGGTCACTTTTGTACCTTCTTTCCAAAACTGAAATCCCCTCCCGGTGGGTACCGGGGGGTTCTAGTAAGGTACTGAGAGGATTCAGATAGAGTCAGAACCAGATTGGACTCAAACTAACGCCCTGGAAGATACCCCTTCTTATCCTTATGTGGTTCTCCGTAGCCGTCATCTGCTCGGCTAGTCTAGTAGTAGGAAGTCTCGAACTGTACAGTCAACCTTGTGCAGCTCGAGGGCCCTCTTCAGCCATGTATGAGGCACCGAGTCGAATGCCTTTTTGTAGTCTATCTAGGCGGCGGAGAGGTTCCGAAGGTTACGTTTAACCACCTTGCCAATAACCTCGTCAATGAGGAGTGTTTCCTTGCTTCCACATCCACCAACCCAACATCCATTTTAACATAAACTAATTTGAGTTCAGGTAACGAGTGATTCTCGCGCTCAAAATGGATGATAGTGTCTTGTATATGGTAGGTAGATACGTTATGGGGCGGTATTTGCTTGGGTCTGTGGTATCTTGGGCTTTAGGTGATCCCAGTAGTGAAGAGTCTTGGGAGCGACTTCTGGTCGAGAGCCTCTTGAAACTGTCGGGCGAGCACAGCATGACACACCACGAACCCTTTCAGCCAGTAGTGATCCAGTCCGTTGAGCCCCGGACTTTTCCAGTTCGGGGCCCTTCGTACCGCCTCAGCTACGTCGTCTATGGTGTTATAGTGACGGAGTCTATGGGCGTAACATTCGAACACTGACAACTTCCGTCCCTTTGGGCCCTCACTGAGGTTTACGGGCCCCGCCAGAATTCGACAGTGTCGGCCTGATTAGGTGCTGGGCCCGTTCCACGTACCATTGGCCGCTCCAATGAGTTATAGAGCCTCTTCTGATCACTCTCGAAGGGACGATTCTGGTTGTTCCGTGTCCGATTCCCTCAAGCAGCTATGCTCTGCTTCAGGTCATCAATGTCCTCCGTCAATTTTTGCATTATATCCGGCTGGGACAAACTGATATTTGTCCATCCTGAAGGTACGCACAATTCTCGGTCTATTATTGCCCAACCTGAAGCTTACCAGCCTTTTTTATAGGATAAGGGTGATAAACGAGCACACAGTCCACCTAATGGTAAGTGGTTGCCGTGGCCCATAGAAATATACATTTATCCTCGATTACGAATCTAAATGCAGATGCGTTGTCACCCATAAGGACTAAGATGGAATGCCTCGTTTCCAGTAAAAAGGCTCTCCGGTTATCTACACTCACTATATGAAACACAGCAGCCTTAAGCTGCTATTTTACGCTGGCATTCTGCGAGATCGTGGTCTTTACCCGGTCGAGCCGACCCATTCGTGTTACAACTATACCAGAAATATAGCTGCAGCATTGGCATTACCACGTATAAAAGTACCATACCATACCATATACCAGTCTGCCGATGAGGGCCCTTGCCTTTGCTATACGGTCCTCAATCCTTCTTCTCCAGGCTGGAATAGCGGTAATTTGCCCTGTAGCACGTGGGAAGTTTGGTATCAACAATGCGGCAAACTGCTAAAGCGGCGCCAATGAGTATTGAGTCCGTATCGCAAAGTTCCCGGCTGGTTTCCAAGTAGGTTGCCAGCAATAGATCGACATCCCGAGAACTTGCTTAGGGTTATGCGTAGGAGTCGCGGTCGATTTTCGATAGGCATACACACTTCACACGTTTCCACAATCACCTCCTCCAATTTACTCCTCATCTGCTCTAGTTCATGGGTGACCATTCCATCATCGCCTGAATCGACCATAGCGGGAAGATCCATGGCGGCCTTCACATGTGGCTGCTGATCTGTGGCCCGAGGAGCCGCATTCCCAGCTACAGCCTATTCATTCGACGAGGGACTACTCACGCCGTAGTCGTTCGAGTTCGGCATTATCAAATATTTTCGAGCACAAGATGTACCGAACTTGGTCTGCCAGGTTTTGCTTCGTGACGGGAACAGACGACTCTAGCTCAGCAAAAAAGCGATGCATCCAAGCCAGATACGCTACCCCTCCAGTGTCTTCCCCTTTCGCCTTATAGTACGCCCACGATGCGTTTGTATTCATATTTTTATTCCAACGCATGCGGCGTTCTCCAACAGCAGCGGGTGCCGCTTGCCGAGTCCGAGAGGATCCTGCCGACACCAAGCCGAGAACAAAAGTCCTGGTGGGGATGATGGATGCAAGGGGTTGCTAGGTGGTCGTGCAGCACTTCGCGCTCAGCTGGTGGTCCGCATGCTGTCGCGTCCAGCGCCAGCACCAGACGCACCTCGGCGACCCCCAGGCAGCGGCCGTATGCGCATTCTATTTTTGTCCATCATCCATAAAATGGGCGTCAATTAATGGGAGACACCCAAGCCTGGAACCGTTTAATTGTGTGGCTGTAAGCACAAACGGGCCTTTACACCCTCAATTCTGCACGAGGCACGGTGCTCACACCTCTTGGCAATGCGCTGACTGACCGCGCCGACGTAGCAATTTTGTCACTTAACTGTTACGTCAGCGGGCGATGGGGTCATCACTTTTCTACGCCACTTTATTGTTATTATTATTATTATAGAAATAAGGAGTCAGTAGGACAGTGCTTTTTAAAATTATAGACAAGTTTACTTGTTTAAATAACAAAAGGGTACTGTACTGTTTCACATTTTATGCTGTAAACTCCAAGTTATTAGTTATGTTGCTACAAGCTAGGTAAATATTATACTACCGCATTTGTGTTTCTCCAAGGTTGAAATGTTCTCTTGAGTTATTTCTCTACTTCAGCTTACCAAGCTGATTTAACTGCTTTGTCAAAGCTAGAACTAAACTTAAGCTATTGAATATTCTAACCAGTCGGGTCATAAATAATTTTATAATGACAAAAGTCCTTGTGTTTCTATACAATTGCTTATATAACCACAAATATCTTTCCTTTTTTGTCTGTACCTTATTTCTTGCCAAACTTCATGATTCTAGGTCTGCGAAAAGTACCATATCGGTTCTGATGAATGAGGTTGCGAATATAAAAAAATATGTGACATAACTTTTCGTATCTTTTAACTACACACTGCACACTAATAACAGTGATTTTTTATGCCACGCTGCCCAATTCGGACTTCACATGACTTCGAAATATGATTTTTTTAATTTCTTAGACATACTGGTTTCACGATGTTTTGGTTCACCAATAATCACGTGGTAAATAGCACGTTAAATTTGAAATTTGTAATTTCATGTGTGGCGGCTTATATCGAACCCGGGTTGCTTACGTACTGTGAAATTCACAGCGAGCGCTTAGCCACTGTGTCACCAAGGCCATGCTTGCTGAGTGAGTGCATTTGAATTTCCGTATACGGTCAATAGTGAATGATCACGTCTCGGTTTCATAGGTCATCACTATCAACACGCAATGATTTTAAAGAATATGATCTTTGTTTTTAGATTTTAAAGAATACCAATATGCGAGTAATTAATGCGTTATATTCTAAACACTGCCCAGTTGAATTTAATGATTTGTCGATAAGCATTTAGACGACTTGTTTATAAGAGAGTATATATTCTTTTTATTTATAACATTTTAAATTTGTTTGTATATTTTTTTTTCCAAAAAATATTTTAACAACAAAATTACAAAAAGTACAGTCCAGCAGACAGTAGCGCAAAAAATGTAGCAGTAGTAGCAATGTCCAAATCTTGCTACGAGTGCTACGAATAACGTTGCGAGAAAATGAAATGTTTGACCTATTTGTAAAGTAAAATGTTGCATTGTTTTTATATATTTCATAGTTTAAATTCAATCGACACTGATAACTTTTGTGTATTTAATAGTTTGTGTGGTGTATAATAAAATGTTTCTACGTTGCAAATTACTTTTCATATTCCCTCTTTTTCATATATTTGCTTGACGTACTCTAATCGTTCACGTCATTTCGTTCCATGAGTATCGTAAGCGATCGCTTTTGGAAATGCAACAAAATTTAGCTTACGACAGGTATAGGATCCTTCTTTCATAAAGAAAAAATGTGAAACCCATAATAACCAAAAGCATTTAGTGCATATAAAGATGCATGTTTCAAATACAAATACAATTCTATACGTGGCAGAGCCATGTTGCAGCTATATTACTGATATAGTTGTAGCACGAATGGGTCGGCTCGACCGGGGAAGGACCACGCTCTCACAGAATACCAGTGTAAAATGGCAGCTTACGCTGCTGTGTTTCGTATGGTGAGTGTAGATAACCGGAGAGCCTTTTTACTGGAAACGAGGCATTCCATCTTAGTCCTCATAGGTGACAACACATCTGCATTTTGATTCGTAATCGAGGATATATGTAGATGTCTATGAGCCACAGCAACCACTTTCCATCAGGTAGACTGTATGCTCGTTTGTCACCCTAATGGTATAAAAAATAAAATTAGGGAAGATTTCGAAGTCTGTCAATTATTAAAAGAAGGTAATTTTCATATTATGCACATTCGCACCAGTGGAGGAATTTTGCTTGAAGGTATCTAAGTCATAATGATCTAAAATCGTTGTCGGCAGTAAATTCTACAATGTGGTCATC